TAGTTCATCGGATCATACGCCCTTTGAACGAGGTCAAACTTCCAAGGTGCCCAATACACCTCGATGTCCAATCGAACCGGTGACCACTACCACGACCAATGTGTGGGTGGGTGTTTCCTACGCCTCTTCTTGGTTGGTTCGGAATCAGGGTTTTTAGCCAACTCCCCCTGGGTGAACTGCCAGTGGTTCATCAACCCGGATATTGGCTTTTCGTCCCCTCACTTTGGTGGGAAAACACCTCCGTCACGAGAAGGCAATGAGTGGGGCTTCCTCGGCAGAAGCTATTTGAGACGCTTGGTATTATGGGAGCATTTCGCGAGCTGCAAGGGAGGGGTGATCAGCCGCTACCCGAGGCACCCACCCCGACCGTACTGAGGCATCCGGAGGCTCTCATTCCGAACACCCTGCAGGTGTACACTGAACCAACCGATTCACAGATCGCGGAAATAAGTTGGTTCGAATATAATCTGTTCCGTATACAAGAAATCCAGTTCAACAAAAGACTATTAAAATTGTAAGAATCCTCGGTAATTTGCATCTACGACTACCCGTTGGCTCATCTCGAAACAATGTTTGCACCTGAGACAAGTTTGTATTGCCTGAACGAGAGGACTTTTTTTTATAGAAGTCAGTATTGTTAGAATTTGGCTTTATCTGTGACGTTCGATTGTTGATAGGGCCCAATAAATGAAGTGTTCGTCAAACGAGGTCTTGAAAATGACGGAGATATCACTTATCGTTGTTTCAGTTTAGTAAATTCAAATTTGGTTCACCACCTGTGATTGCTGCTTTTTGTAATACTTTGCTAATTTTCGACTCTGAGACCAACGCGAACACTTACAAAGTGATAAATAATAGGAAAATACTAACGTGGGTGAGTAAATGCAAGGGAACTTTTCAAGATCGCGAACCTGCAGTATGTGTGATACCTCATGCCCGAAATTCGACAAATCGATCAACCGATCAGAAACGTTCTGCTCACCATTGGGACGAACAGGTCAATTTAACTAGGGCAAACCGCAGGTACACACGCAGCAACGAGTACACGATCTCATCCCGGTCACCGATCGATCGAGTTCTCACTACATGTAAAAAGACAGACACAGACAATAGCATTTCACGTGGTCGAGTGAATTCGCTCATTATTTTCTCTCAGTTTTGTCCGAAAGCTGTCCACAGATTGATACCCAACGATAACATCCACATGAATAAGTCATGAGGGCTATATGATTACATCACCGGCATTTAGAATGATTAGCTCAAAGCTGTCTTTAGCCCCCGGGTCATCGCTGTTTGGGATTTCACTCAACCCGTAAGCTTCTCAAATTGAATAAAATTCCTGTCTCAGTTCTGTGCCACATAATCATTGGAACCATTTGATTTCAAGCTTTCTTGCCTTGTTTAAATTATTGTTGTCATGAGAACACAGTGAACACCAGTCGCGACCACAGCTAGCAAAACGGGTTCGGGAAACCATGCTCTTTATTGAGCACGATCAGCTGGGAGTATCTGCTGATTCCGTCTGAAAAGTATGAACGACGACTGGTATAAATGAACGTACATGTTAGTGCGTACGTGCATGCGACGTGACCGCAATTTATTCCACTTACCTCGACCTGTCCGTCACGAGTGTGCGCAGAACCTTTCCGCCCAGTTAATTGATTCGATGAATTTACAGTGCGAGTTTTCAGACGTACTGTGTTGGAACGTGTTTTATTTATGCAAAATGGCTATCAAATATGTGCTGCTAAAGACACCCCAGAAGCTTACAGAGATACTTACTAATTGTTCCTGTAATTAGGAACTCTCCGAAAAACGGAGCTAAAAGCGGAGACAGAGATGTTGGTGAGTGAGATG